GTGCCGTCGCTGGCGCGGTTCAGCGAGCCCTCTGAGTCTCCGTGTCCTCTGTGTGAAGTCCGAAGAGCACCTGTCTCCAGAGGCTGCAGGAGGAGGCTTTAGGCGAAGTGCCTAGGACACAACAGGCAATGGATACCTACTAGTGTGTGAAGTTATCAAATAATGGTTTGAGGTCAAATCCCGAGCCATGAAAAAGGAAGCGAACGGGGACAAACCTAAGAGGAGAGGTGGTGCATCCCGACCTGCTCTGGTGCTGACTGTCCTGTCCTCTGCCCCCAGCTCAGCACCGAGGGAGGGCTCGAGTCCTCTTGTTCGGGCAGAGAAGCGGGTCTCAGGTGACACACCTGAGATGTTGGGCCATGTTGGGGGAGGGGCCAGAGCACGGGGCCCATCGTGAGTTCCCAGGTCAGAGTGGTCTGGGGGTCGGGTGGGTGCACAGGAGCACTGCCAACCTTCAAACTAGCCTCCAGTTCTGAGAGGAAGCCAGCTTGTGGGAGGGAAAAGAACTGCGTGCTTTTGCTGGCCCCCATTCTAATGACGGCTCCAATTCCCTTCCCTCCTGACAACATAAGAACGTTCCCTTGGAGCGTCTTAATCTCTGATAAGGCCAGTCCCACACGGCAATGTCCTCTCTTCAACACTTAATTTCTCCCCATAGCTCCCTTCTGTGCTGAGCACTTCCATTCAGATTACACGACAGGAGTGATGAGCCTTCTATATTATGGCCGGAGGAATTTCCACAGGTTTGTTCCTAACCTTCCTGTTTTCCCATCTCATTTCTGCACTTCCTTAACTACATTTTCCGTGAACACAGAGGAAGAGTCGTTTCCTCATCCCAGGTTGCTCGGTTCACGCCCTCTAGCCCATGCCTGGACACCCCACTCCCTGGGGATAAGTCACTGTCTCAGACAGTATTGAGATGCTCCATAAATCCAGCCCCATTGTATCTGGTGTGAGCAGACATTTATTTGAGGGGGTTTTAAACTGATCGGTATCTTCACTGAAATCCCATACATATGGTATAATGCTCATTAGATATTTTCATGTCAATCAAGAAAGAAACATCTCAAATTGATGTTGCATTGTTCCAAACGAACCCAATTTCATCACAGACCTAAATCTATGTGGCTGACAGGGTGGTAGCAGCCCCACAGCACCCGTATGTTCATTATGCCAGATTTGGAGAAACAGCAAAGATAATGAACTCAGTGACAAAACATTCTTGTTTCCTTCATCACAGTCTCAGGAGAGGAAAGACCTGGTTTTTACAGAGCAGAGATGCAGTGGCCTCAAGCCAATGCCGCATTTCAGTTTGGGTGCCCCTGATACGCTTTCTGGTCTGTAAAATTGAGCACAAGAAAATGGATGACTATTAGAAAGTGATCTTACATAATAATGCAGATCATTGAAATTTCAGCTCATCCATCAGCCTAGGGTTCATTGCAACCTTTAAGACCGATGACACAGTTTTGCTGCTCTCACCAAGGAACAACTGCTGGCTAATAAAGCAGCACAGAATTCTGTGGCTTAAAATACATAAACATTTGTTATTGAACAAGTATCTTTGATCAGCTGTTGGGCTGGCAAAGGACTGGCTGGTCGAGGATGGTCTCTTTACAGTCTGGCAGTTAGCTGGCTATTGGCTGAGTTGATGAGATAGACTGGTCATGTGTCCCTTGTTATCCCACATCCCAATCTGTATATGACAGGTTGAATGATGCACACCACCCCAAGGAGGCCCGTGTCTGAATGTCTAGAACCTGTGAAAATGTTACCCTTTGTGGCAGAAGTTACTCTACATACGTGCTTAAGTTAAGGATCTTGAGATGGGAGGTTTTCCTGGATTATCTGGGTGGGCCCATATGATCACAGGGATCTTTATGAGAGGGAGACAGGAGGATCAGAGTCATAGAGAGGAGATACAGGGATGGAGGCAGAGGTCAGAGAAAGAAGAAGATGCAGCATTGCTAGTTTGAGATGGAGGAGAGCATGTGTGGCCGGGAATGCAGGCAGGCTCCGGGAGGTGGGAAAGGCAAGGAAACAAGTTCCCCCCAGAGCCTCCAGAAAGAACCCAGCCCTCTGGACCCACTTTATTTTATGTTATTTATTTTTTATAATTTAAAACTTTTAACAATATTTTATTGATTATGCTATTACAGTTATCCCCAAATTTTCCCCTTTGTCCCCGCTCCACACAGAAGCCCCCACTCCCTCAGGAAATCCCCACACCATTGTTTATGTGTGTGGGTCATGCATATATGTCCTTCCTCTACTCCATTTCCAATACTGTGCTTTACATCCCCATGGCTATTCTGTGACTGCCTATTTGTACTTCTCAATCCCCTCACCTCTTCCTCCATTCCCCAATATCCCCCCTCGTATCTGGAAACCATTGAAATGTTCTCCATATCCATGCTTCTGTCTCTATTTTTCTTGTTTGCTTAGTTTGTCTTTTAGATTCAGTTGATAGATTCTTATTTTTTGCTATTTTATTGTTCATAGTTTTAATTTTCTTTTTCTTAAAAAGGTCCCTTTAACATTTCATATAACAATGGTTTGGTGATGATGAACTTCTTTAGTTTTTCCTTGTTTGAGAAGCCCTTTATGTGCCCTTTGATTCTAAATGATAGCTTTGTTGGGTAGAGTGATCTTGGCTGTAGGTTCCTGCTTTTCATGACTTTGAATATTTCTTGCCAATTCCTTCTAGCCTGCAAAGTTTCTCTTGAGAAATCGGCTGACAGTCTTATGAGAACCCCCCGTAGGTAACTGACTGCTTTTCTCTTGCTGCTTTTAAGGTTCTCTCTTTATCTTTAAGCTTTGGCATTTTAGTTATGATGTGTCTTAGAGTGGGTCTCTTTGTGCCCACCTTTTTGGGACTCTTTGTGCTTCCTGGACTTCTATGTCTATTTCTGCCACTAAATTAGGGGAATTTTTCTTTCATTATTTTTTCAAATAGATTTTCAATTTTTGGCTCTTTCTCTCTTCCTTCTGACACCCCTATGGTGCAAATGTTGAACCTCTTAGTTTGTCCCAGAGGCTGCTTATATTATCCTTGCTTTTTGGGGATTCTTTTTTGTTGTTGTTGTTATTCTATTTGATTGTTTTTTGCTTCCTTGTGTCCCAAATCATTGCTTATCTCCATTTTATTTAGTTCTTTTTCTGGGGTTTTGATCTATTCTTTCATTTGGGCCATGTTTCTTCATTGCCTCATTTCGGCAGCCTCCTTGTGCGTGTTTCTATGTATTGTAAATAGAGCTTCTATGACACCCTGTCTTAGTAGCATGGCCTACTAAGTAGGTGTCCTTTAGGGTCCAGTTGCACAGCCTCCCCTATCACCCAAGCTGTGTACTCAAGGTGTACCCTTTGTGTGGGCTGAGACACCCTCCTCTTGTAGTTGAGACTTGATTACTCTTGGTAGGTCAATGGGAGGAATTTACTCAGGCCAGTCATCAGCAAGGACTGGCTGTGACCACTGACCACCAACTTCCACCCTCCATGGAGGATCAGCTGTGTGGGGGCAGGTTAGTGATGCTCCAACATGGCCTGTAGGTGTCCACTGGGTGTATGAGTCCTGTGATTTTCCAGGCGTAGGTCAGCGCCCATCTGTGTTTTGCTTGAGGCCACCCTGCCTGAGCTATAAAGCAATCTGAGATGTGTGCTACTTGTGCTGGGCTTGGGGTTTCCCAGGTGAAGCCAAGTGGTGACTCTAGGCTGGCTACTGCTAATGCCAGGCCTGGGGCCTCTTAGCAAGGGGTACGGGGGCTGGGGACTCACTGAGGCCAACTGTTATTCATTTGAGAGGCTTTAGGAAGTTGAGAACCATGAGACAGGACCAGTCATTCATATAGATAAGTCCCTATTAACATTTTGGGTGAGCCCTTAAGTTGGGTGGGACAGAGCCTCAAGGGACCTCCAGGGCAGGACAAACAGTATTAGCCAGGTTGATGGATCTCAGATATGACACCTATTCGCCAGCTCTGTGAGAGAGAGTTCAGAATAGGGACAATGGCCTCTGCCCACCTCTCCTTCTGGGGAAAAACTGTCCTCCAGCTCCTGCCTTGATGCCAGACATTTCAGTTCCTTCCCATATGCCACTAGTGCCTTTCAAGCTGCTACCCTGGTGCAGGAGCTCAGAGGGAGTGAGTCTGAGTAAGTCGTTTGTGGGTTCTCTATGAGGAACTCCTTGGGACTCCACAAGTTTCTTCCACCAACTCTGTCCCTGCTGGTTATTGCAGTTAGAAGTTATGGGGAGTTATCTTTCTGGCACTGGAACCCTGGGCTGGGGCATGTGGTGTAGGGCTGGGACCCCTCACTTGTGAGATATCCTCCCTGAATTTTTACCCACCACACGTGAATGTGGGACTAGCTGGTTCCACATCCCCGCCCCTCCTACCAGTATGGATAGATGTATTTTTTTAAACCTGTTGTTGTCAGACTTCTATTCGACTTGATTTCTGGTGGTTCTGAGTGATGGTTGTTCTATATTTTGGTTATACTTTTGATGTGGTTGTGTGAGGAGGTAAGCCATGTTTATCTTTGCCACCATCTTGACCAGAAGTCTGGACCCATTTTAGACTTCTGTCTTCCAGAACTATAAGAGAATAAATATGTGTTTCTATAAGCCACTAAGTTTGTGGTAACTTTTCACAGCAGCGACAGGAGACTAATACACCTGAACTTGTTAAAAAGTTAGTAGCAGGTGCCCAGAGAAGGGCAAGAGTGAATCATAAATTCGGATTGGCACACTGTCACTTCTGCCACATTCTATTGGCCAAAGATATCACAAGTTCATTCCAAACTCAAGGGTTGGAGAAATAGACCCCACCTCTTGATGATTCTATTTCTCTCACTTCTTGATGGAATAAAGGTGGTAAATCACATTGCAAATGGGTACAGGGACCAAGAAGGGTAGTTGTGATGAATCTACCACCATGCCCTTTACAAAATGACAGAGGACATTCAAAAGCAACATCTGACCCTGGTCTCTTTCTCCTTTCCAGGGCCACAGGGATCATGGGGTTCTGGAACTCAGGCAGTGATATCTTCCTAAGTCTTTGGGGAATCTATGTGTCTCCAAGAAGCCCTGGATGGAAGGACTGTATGCAACATTTGGGAGTTTGTTGTTTTGTTGCTTTCATTTCCGTGGGCCTCCTCTCAGTGGCCTGCTCCTGGTTTCTGTCATCATCTGTTGTCTTCACCACCTCCTGGGTGATCACGTGTGTCCTGCTGTACTGCTCCAAGCATGTGAGATGTTTCATTCTTCTCCTCTTCCTCTCCTGTGGCCTGCGTGAAGGCAGGAATGCTTTGATCACAGCTGGCACAGGGGCAGTCATCTTTGGACATGTGGAAAACATCTTTCACAACTTTAAGAGTCTGTTGGACAGTATGACTTGCAACCTAAGGGCAAAGAGCTTTTCTATTCATTTGCCACTTTTGAAAAGGTACATTGAAGCAATTCAGTGGATTTACAGCCTTACTACTCACCTGAGTCTGTTTGATGATCTTGTTTCTTGGAACCAGACTCTGGCAGTCTCTCTTTTCAGTCCCGGCCAAGCCCTGGAGGCACAGCTAAACGACACTAAAGGCGAGGTCCTGGGGATCTTATACAGAATGGTGACCACGACAGAGATGCTGTCCTCTCTGGGAGAGCCGCTGCTTGCCCTTGCAGGGCTTTTGCTGGTGCTACTTGGCACTGGCCTTTTCATGAAGCGATTTCTGGACCCTTGTGGTTGGAAGTTTGAAAACATCTACATCACCAAACAGTTTGTTCAGTTTGACGAAAGGGAGAGGCACCAACAGAGACCCTGTGTCCTCCCGTTGAGTAAGAAGGAAAGGAAGAAGTATGTGGTCATCCCTTCTTTCCGGCTCACTCCTAAAGAAAGGAAGAAGCTGGGGCTGTTTTTCCTCCCCATACTCACCCACCTGTACATATGGGTGTTGTTTGCAGCCGTCGATTTTCTGCTGTATTGGCTCATTTTCTCCGTGAGCAGACATTTTCAAAGCTTGCCAGCACTGGAAGTTCACTTAAAACTGCACAGGGAGGTAGGTGCTCACGGGCTCTTCTCAGGGTGTATCCTGGCTGTTAGCCGGTCTCTCTGCGAGATCACAAACCTTCCAAGGCAGGGCAGTGTCTTACCACCTTGGATCTCCGGTGCCTGGCACGGTTCCTCCCACGTACAGGAGCCCATCAGATGGTGGTTAAATTAAAGTCCCAGTGTTAGAGGATATCATTCTGAAAACGTTTGTCACTGTGTTAGCTTCCTGTGGCTGCTGTAACAAATGACCATAAATGTGTGTCTTAAAGCAACAGAAACTCATTCTCTAATACTTCTCAGGTCAGGAAGTCTGAAATCAGTGTTGCTAGGAGGACATCAGGGTGGCGTTGGCAGCCACGTGCTCCCTGCAGACCCCGAGGGAGAAGCCACTGTTTGCTTCTTCCAGCTTCTGGTGGCCGCTGGCATTCCCTGGCATGTGCCTGCACCACCCCATCTTTGCTTCTGTCTCCACATCGCCTTCTCAGCACTGAACGCCAAACCTCTCTTTGTCTTTCTCTGAATGGATGCCTGGGGTTGCAATGGGGCTTACCAGGATGGTAATTTCTCCATCTCAAGGTCCTTCACTGAATAACATCTGCAAAGTCCTCTTCTCCCCCTAACTAAAACCACATTTACAGATTTGGGGATTAGAAATTTATACTGTTGGGGGGCCCATCTTTTAGTCTCCTACATTCCGCAGGCACTGAAATATGGGCCTAGGGGTCTCTGATGGGGAACACGAAGTTGAATTTCAAGCAAGGGTGCCTGACGTGAACCTAAAAGGCCAGATTCAGGGCTTGACTTCCTCTCTCCTCAGGCTTGTTATGCCAGTAGGCTGTGAGCAACTACTGTGAATGAGAACTCCTTTTTTTGCAGTCCTGAGTCCTTCTCAAACAGGAGGGACCCTAATACATCAGCGTTTAAGAGGATGGTGTTTGTAAAAGGGCTCCTACGTAATCAAAAAATACAGCTGTTGCTAGGGCCATGAATAAATGGAACCAGCTACACTTTTGTTTTTCAAGCAGCTTAGATCAGTGCTGTCAACCTTAAGTTTCTTAAGAATCTCCTGGGGGTGAATGCAGAGCCTTAGGTCTCAATGTACAGAGATTCCGTTTTAAACAAGGGAGCACTTTTAGTAAGCACTTCATTCATTTCAAAGCAGGCGGTCCATGGACCACACGTGGAAAAATGCAGGTTCCTCAGGTGCTGGAGAGCAAAGACCTTGTAGACCAGTGGCCCTGGTGCGGTATCTTCACTGGGAGCCAAACAAGTAAACAGGCAAACTAGTCCCATGCTTTGGCCTGGCCCTTTGGATCTAACCAGACTGGGGTGAGGCCTGGGCAAGAGGTTCAGAAAAACTCCTGAGTAATTCTCATGTGCGGCCAAGATTGAGAAAGACTGTTCTAAACCCAGCACCCAAGGAACGGCGCCACCGAATAGAGCCACAAAAATCTTCACTAGCCAAGACAGTCCATCTATCTGAGCTTGTGCCTCCTGAACTTGTTCTTCCTGAGTCTTGGGGCACCTGCCTTTGTCCCTTCTATTCTCACTCCTCTCAGCAACCATGTTCCAACAGAGAAAGCTGTGGTCTTCTGCATTTCATCTCTTCTCTGTTCCCTTCATCCCTGTGAGAACTGTGATTATGGGGTCACTTCAGAGGATCTGGGTAGTGTCAGATTCTTATTTTTTTGGTCACCCAGAAATTGTGAAACTGAGCTAGATGGGACATACATGTGTGCATGTATGTGTTGTGTACATACATGTTCACGTGCTTGTGTAGTGTATGTGTGTGCATGACAGAAAGAGAGAGTCATCCACACAGGGGTGGAGGGCACTAGCCCAGACAGCTGCTTCTTCATGTCTGATTTCCCCTCTCTTTCTCGAGCGCCATAGCTGGTGCCGGTGTGGTGGAAATCTCGGCACCAGGGGTTGCCCGCAAGTCCTCTTCTGAAGCCCCACTTTGCCCATCTCTCTTTATCTCTGGGCGGGGCTCCTCCAGCTGCTCGCCCACTTTGCCGCCCCTTTTCTTCTGGCTCAGCAGGCCCTGTCCAGGAGGCTGCCCCTCCTGTCCCTGGGCTGCCTCTCCGAGTTGATTACTCTGAGCCCTCTGCGTCCCCTGAAGAATTTAGTTAATTACAAGAACACTGTTGCTGTCGGTGTCTGGAGCGGAGTGGATAATGGAAGTTGTGCTTCAGTTGGAAGTCAAACAGGAGTTTCAGACAGGCCTGATCCTGGGGGGTGGCTAGTTCGAGGGCCCCTGTCCTCCCGTGCCCCTCCATTTGCCTCCCATTTCTATTTTTGGTCTCCCCTTCTCCTTCTCTCTAGTTTTGCTTCTCGCTCCTTTATTTCTCTCAGTCAACATTCATGCCTGTTTTGCGAGTTCTTGCTGTTTTAGACACAAGGGAAAAAATGTTAAGTTCTGACTTTGAAAAAGGCCCAGAAGCTTTCCAATGGCAATGTCCTCACAAATAAATTTTGGGGCGTTGGGTCCTGGGGGTGAAAAAATGCCTGGACCCTGACAGCTGCCGTGGAGGGGCTCAGTCCTGGAGGGGGAGGCCACCACGTCCATGCACAGGAACAGCAGGTCAGTGGGCGCAGGAACAGATGCAAGGCCAAGGTGGCTGAGAGAGCTCCGCTCAGACTCTCTCCGATGGGGCCTGGAACGCACACAGTGCCACCAGCAGTGTCCTCGCCACTGGGAGTGCCTTGCCCTTACCCCAGGATGCCCTCGGAGGCTCCTGGTCTCTCCACCGCTGCAGATTTGCAAAGGAGAAGTCAGCAGGAAGAGAGCTCAGCTCAAGGTTTTGCCAATGTGTCTCTCCTGCTTTCATACAATTTTAAATTAAAAAGAAAGAAGGGGAATGACCTGAACTGAGCTCACTGGATGGGTCAGCATTGTAAGAAAAAAGAGCCATAGTTGCTACTCATTAAGCACCTACTATGCGAGTAGCATTTGTCTAGATTAACTTTCCGGGACTGTCTGATGCCAGAGCAGGTTCTCTGTCTATTCCTCAGCACTATCTTGGCAAACTGTTTACTTAAAAGAAGTAAACACATTTTAAAACATAAGGGTACCATTTAGTGTATTGTTCTGGATTTTGAGAGAGTCCATTTGTCTTCCACATTACCCTCCACCAGTTCTGTACAAAAATATTGACTCAGTCTTTATGAAGCCCTGACTCCCAACTGCAAAATCCCCAGTTAGATTCCCAGACTAAATAACTTCTCCCCAGACCGAACACCCGCCGCTTTCTTATTGCAGGATTTCTCATCACTGACTCAATCGATGTGTTTGTTTCTTCAATGCTATTAAACAGAGTGCATGCTTTTGCTCTGGGGATAGAAATCTCTCTATTTAATTGTAGGCAAACTATCTTAATAAGAGGAGAGGCAACACAAATGCCTTTCATTGCTCAGCCACAGTGCTGGGGAAATTACAGACTTCATTCCACTTTTGTATAGAGGTCCCTGGTTTGGGATTTCTAGGCTCTACACAGGTATTAGAGTAGACCCACGGTGTTTGGTGTTCTTTGGGTGGGTTGGGTTCTTTCTCGACAGTCCTGGCCCCAGGACACCGGGATGCAGCGGTGATAACTTACTAATGGCTCTAGTCTGTAAGGTTAATGCTCCATCCCAAAGGTGTTTAATTTACCCTGGGAGTAGTTTATTCATGGGCAGGATCTGGTCCATTAATTCCTGTTTTACCAAATTAGAAAACAAATCCAATGAGAGATTAAATGACTTTCTCAGGTCAGGGAAGAGAAAGAGCTGAATCAGCACACACCTCTCTCATCGGTGGCTTGGCTGGGTGGCTGAATGTCATCTTCTGTCCTCTGTACTGGTTTGCTGAGAGCAACTGATTCCGTCTCTTGCTTACAAGCAGGAAGGAATGCCTTTCTGGAGCATCCAAGAGATAAGAAAACATCCTATTTTGAGACCTCTAAAAATAGGACTTTAGAGCCATCTTCAGTAAATACTATTCTTAGTATTCTGTCACTAGGAATAATTCCCCCTCCCTACCAGCTCTAGAATGTTGACTTAGAACATAATGTAATGCCCCTCTCTCCTTGTGACCTGGTGGTCTCATGGGGAGTGTATGACTGGATCTTAAGGGGCTATGCGCCAAAAATCTTTGCTCCCATTTGAGTTAAAACCATCGTTCATTAGTCCCACATGGCCTAGAGTATAGAAACAGGTGCTCCATAAAAATGGGTTATGTGGCCACATTTGTTAGGATAACAGCTGGCTGACGTTACACGGATTTCTCTGCCTTCTCAGAGCCTTCAGAGGTCTCATGGGCACCATGGCTCTCCAAAGAGGGGATATGCAGACAAACTTATGTGATACCCTTTTCAAGGAAACCTGTGTTTCCACAAGCCCACTTTGGAGAACACTGGGGTAGGTACTGATAAGGCCTCCCCTGGGCCTCTGCACCAGTCACAGCTCGCGAAAGAAACTGCGGCAGCCCCTGCGGCCCATGCCCCCTGCCCGTTTTAAGACAAATGGTATTATGTGTCACAGGGCAGTAGTGACAAAGACAAGGAATGAACATGAAATAGCATGGGTCTTGATGATTTTATTGTTTTATTTCAGGAGCAAGGAGCTCAAAACATCATCCATGATTCTTCTTTTAATATATCTCTGTTTGAACCCAACTGCATTCCTAAACCGAAGCTCCTTCTCTCTACCACTTGGATTCCTCTCAGCATTATTCTTGTGATGCTAGTGATGCTAGGACTGTCGTCCCCCTTCCTGATGCAACTGAAAATCCTGGTCTCAGCATCTTTCTACCCGAGCGTGCAGGGGGAGCGGGTCCAGTACCTGCATGCGAAGCTGCTGAGGAAGAGGGCGGAGCAGCCGGGAAGGGAAGTGCACAGGCCGCTGAACCTGTACTTCACAAAGGTAAGGCCGAGACGAGGCGTGACCTGCAATTAAGGACATTCTGAGTTTAAAGGGCAAAACGGGATTTCAAAGCATTCTTTAACTTCACATTAGGTTTGTATCTTCCACAACGGGTGGGACACTGATGTAGGTGGGGGAGTTAACAGATAAACATGGCTAAAGCTCTTAGCTCTGTGATTTTAGGTGTTGGTCTACAGCAGGGGTGTCAAACTCATTTTCACCAGTGGCCACATCAGCCTCGCGGGTGCTTTCAAAGGGCTGAATGTAATTTCAAGTCATTAACCATTAAGGAGTAGTTACATTTATACAGTCCTGAAATTATTTCAGCCCTTCAAAGTCAACCACAAGTCACATGTGGCCCCCTGTGAAAATGAGTTTGACACCCTGGTTTAAAGGATTCTACAAGATTGTCCAAACAATGACTGCAAGTGAGTATGCTTAGTCATATTATAGAGAGACTCCTGGGAAGGCCCTTTGCAATGAATAAGGGGTTACTTTACCAGGTTAAGGATAAATAAATAATAGAGAGGGAAACTTTGCTCTGTTAGCTTGGTAAACTCCAAAGAATTTGCTCATTCTTCAGCATTAAAGTATGTATATGATGTGTAGTATGATATATATGTATATGTGATATATACGTATGTTTATACACATGTATAGTAATATAATGACTTTCAGACACATAAAATAAATGCTTGTCAAAGGTTTTATTTGACTTATTAATGAAAAGAAAACAGTAAAAAATCCAACCAATTCGAAGAGCAATTCAAAGTGCGCATACATACAGGCCATCAGGAAAACCAAAATTAATTCACTTCGTAGATCCAAAACTGACTCCTTTGGAAGGGTGATTGGGAGGGTCAACTGTACTCTATGGGGTTTTTTTGCAGGTGCCTGGACAAGAATCCTTTGCGCTGTTGCTATCAGCCGTCAACAAGGTACACAGTTGGAAAATAGCTCATGGGCAATGAAAGAGCAAGAAAACCCACAAGGATGGTTGTTTTCTGGTCATTTCAGAGTCTTCTGCAATTTTTCCTGACAGCAGTATCCCCACGATGAGAACTTTATGTCGGAGGCATTTGAAAGGGCTCTGATGCTCATTTGCTCACCTTTTTGTCTCTTCAGATTCATTTCTGGCTTCCAGTCCTGAGAGTGATTAGGAAGAAGCAAGTGGACACTGCAGGTGATGACAATCCATGAGAGACCCCAGCGTCGTGTCTCGGCCACCCTTCACCAGCCGTTCTCCCAGGTCCACTGAGGGTGGTCCCCCCCAACCCCATGCCCAGCATCAGACAACTAACTACACTGCGTGGCCCTTCAGGGCTGAGTTTGTGGCCAAACCACTTTTCTCCGTAAAGGCCAAAGGGCTGGCAGGTAAATGGTTATGTCATCTCTTCCACATGAGGGACATGATCTAGTCGGTGTCACTACAACCAAGTCCTCCGAGGATAAGTCTTAGCATGGAGTAACAGTTAAAGAAAAAAACAAAAAAAAATTGGAAACCCCCCTGACATCTCTACTGCAGGCTCACAAACAAATGCCAAGGAGAATATGCAGGCATAATGCCAGTAAAATACCTCTAGCCTTGAATCCCTTTTCTGCCCTTCTGGGTGTCTTTCATAGCTATTCCCTAGCCCCACAACTGTCTCTCCCCTCTTCCCTTATTCAAGAACCATTTCCCAAATCCATCTCCAGCAGCTTCTAATTTCTTCTCCCCACCACCTCTGTGGGATCCCTTTGTTTCCGTCTCCTACCAAATCTCCTAGCCACAGTGATTTAGGGACCACATTTATCAAAGTCATATAAAATTTTTGTTAAAATGTACATGTTAGGCCTTTTTTCCACTGTATCAGTACATACCCTATGTACGGAGGCCTCCTTCTGTACTCTGAACACTGAGGAAGGAGAAAAGCCTCCGCGAACTCTGGTTTTATTATCTCTAAAGTCCAAGAATGGATAAGAAATAAAGAAACATTATTTTTTTCTTTTTAACTTTTATTTTGAAAATGTTCCAACGTACAAAAAGGTTTCAAAGTAGTACAGAGTTCCATTTACCCCTCACCCATCAGCCCCGAATGTTGAAATCTTACATAACCATGGCACAGTTGTCAAAACCGAGTAAATGATACTGAAAAAATGTGTGACTTACAGAGTTCATTGAACTTTTCATCAGTTGCCTCACTACATCCCTTTTCTATATTCCTTATCACTATAGCTCTTGATTCAATCCAGGCTCTCACACTGCATTTAGTCATCATGGTTCCTTAGTCTCTTCCGATTAGTAACAGTTCCTCACTCCTTCCTTTTTCTTTCATTATCTTGATACTTTTGGACAGTACTGACCAGTTATTTTGTAAAGTGCCCTTTGACTTGGGATTGTCTGATGACCCCTGTAAGCAAACTCAGATAATGCCGTGAGGGCAAGAATACTCCAGAACCGATGCCACACTCTTCTTGGTGAGGTCCGGAGGTGCATGGTGCCGGCGTGTCTCATTGCTGGTGAGGTTACCTGTCAGCCTCGATTCAGGTGGGGTCTGCCCTAGTGCTCAATCACTGTTTCCTTTTGTGATCATAATAAGTATGGTCTCAAAGGGGAAATGCTTTGAGACCATGCAAACATCCTGTCTGTCATCCCCACTTCATGCTCTGATTTTAGCGTTCGTGGATGCAGAACCATGACCACCAAGCAGTGGTTTTCTACTTTTGTATCTTCAACATGTCTTGATTGGAATTCTACACTATCCCCAGAAGGAAACTTTTTTTCGAAGACTAAACTTTGTTTCAGGCACCCAAGTACGCATTTCACACACGCGACCTCATTTCTGGTTCATGGCAGCCCTGAGAGGGTACAATTTCTCCCGTGTTATAGGTCAGGAATCTCACCCTCCAAGGCCCTGACTAGCTGGCCTGGGGTGGGGCCCGACACTCACGTGTTTCAAGCCCCAGGTGGTTGTAATGGGGCAGCCAGGATGGAGATCCAACATCCTGGCAAGTTTTAGAGCCGCAGGTCCTTCCATTCAGGTCTTCGCTGGGGAAATTGCTCTCACGTAAGGAGCCTAATTGGAAATGTGTCTGATTCGGCATTTCCCAAAGTGTGTTCCTGAAACCATGGGTTCCTTAGTTGCTCCACAAAAGGAGTCATGTGATACTAGGAAATCCACACCATCCATCTGCCTTCGAACCTTGCACATAAAGCGTGTGGGCATAATTCGAAAACTGTGAGAAATTTCTTTTAACCTCGTTTCATGCAGAATGTCCCCAAATTACTAAATCATGGAATAAGTTTACCAGCAATAACTGTTATCACCACTTAGGACCAGTTCTACGGTCCATACTCCAGTAAATGCTGACATAATTGGTAAAGTTTTGAACGAAAAAAGAATCAGAGAAGGTGAATATGCATTTATAATTTTGGCTTCTTTAAATATTCTTGATTTCATGCTTTATTGTGTTTTCTAAAGAAATGTATATATTAATAAACTGATACAATATGTGAATTTTTGCATTTACTGTGTATTTATTCCTCCTTGAGGTAAGGGATCTTCCCCACATTACTAAGACAAAGAATCAACTGCTCAATTTTTAGAGGAAATTGGATGCATCTGCCTTTCTAAATTCTGCTAATTAACTCACTTATCTGACTAACAACAGCGAACATTTGAACAGGGCTCAAAGAAGGTGTTGGTGATGCCCACCCGGCCCCCTCCCCCTGCCCCCAGTCCTTGCCTTGGCATGTTTTTAACGTAGTCAGGAAGAATGACAGATGCTTAGGTAACGAGGGACAATATACAGCAGCTGTAGGCGGCACCTTTGTGGGACCGTGACCAGTCTATCCTCTTTTCTACGAGGAGGGCACTAGAGAGGTTGGTGAAGGGGATTTAGTCTTTAAATTAAAATTACTTTTCTGAAGTAGCAAAATCTCTTTTTGTTTCCAGCAGACTGACTCTGACCAGTTCACAAGACTTCTGCAGAATGTCTTCCTGTTTCTCTCTGTTAGGCCAGCTCGTCCTTGCACTGGCCTGGCCCCTTGGGAGGACAGGCTGGCAGGGAGGTGCTATCACAAAAGGCAATTTTGATCTTGAAAATAGACTCAGACTTGCTCATTCGGACCAGTCTAACTCGGGAGATAAAGTGCTTATGTAACTGCAGCGTATCCACTTCAGATTTAAATGAATGGTCAGTTAAATTTTCTGAGACATCTGTGGGGAAATGTGCTTTGTTAATCTGGTCGAGGCAGAAAGATACGGCCCAATGTGATTTAATAGAGCTTCCTTTGTCACCTCTAATTTCAATGGCTTATAAAAGTACTTTGCCTTGTAGTCAGAGTCACTATTTCTCATTTCATGAATCCCAGCGTGGTGGCTGTATTCTGTGAGTCTTTCGGGTGTCATTCTGTTGACCTCACTGATTCTGGATCTGGTGTCCATTGTGTTTCTCCGTGACAGTAAAACACCGTCATTCCAAACACCTTCGTGGTCACAGATCTCTTTTATGGTTCTACTTGGGATGTTAAACATGGTCTTCTTTTTTTTAAGATTTTATATCTGCTGTTTTCTCTGTTAGAACCTAACCAATCCTGATTATATTATGGGATATGTTGATGTCTTACACTTTATGTATTTTTGTCTTAATTCACCTGAGAAAGAAAAAAACAAACATATCTTAGAGAGTAAGAGCTAGCTTCCCCACCTAAAGTCAGTAATAATGACAAAGACCATTGAAGTTGTTTTATTTAACATATGCTATAGATGAGAAAGGAACTGGCTAAAAAAAGTGAATGTGGGTTGACTGTGGATGTATATCTATATTTAAAAGCCTGTTAAATTGGGCCAATATAACACCCACACAATGGGGAAGAAAGATTTAAATTAGTAGGTGGCTGAGACCCCCAAACTCTCAGGGTTCCAAGTCTCTTTTGGTTTTAATCACCAGTGCTTGGTTGCAGTGACATTTTTAAAAAGCAGGGAAAGGAGATGAATAACAGGATACAGAGGATAATAACCTTTCATCATCTAAACCTTGGGCATCTATAAACCTCACCTTTACAGTGAGAAGGCAGAAGAACTTGACAAGTTCACACTTGCAGAGTGAATTTGTCCATTGAGGTCTTTGTGTAAATGTAAATGGGAAGCAAAAAAGGCAATGGTAGGAACAAAAGCGTAACTAGCTGCAGTGACTACAATTAGGGCAGAACATGTTTGCATTCCTTGACCAGATGCTGAGGAAACACACAGTGTGGCCTGGGAGGTGTCCCACCCCCACCTCATTAGCAAAGACAAGGAACACTGTGCCCATGGCCCGCAGCATGAGGCTGAGGAAGAGGACAGGCCTAGGGGATGCACAGGGGGCGGGAAGGACTGACATGAGGATGCCGATGTCCATCCACTCACTTCCCAAAGTCATCAGAATTGCCTTTTGAAGGTTAAAAAGCAAAATAAAATTATAGGTCCAAAACCTAAACCAAGATATACTGAGCAACTTCCAGGGGTGTCCAACCTGGGGCCACGGGCCACATGTGGTATAGGACGGCTGTGAATGTGGCCCAACACAAAATTGTAAATTTACTTAAAACGTTGTGAGATTTTTTTGTGATTACATGTCACAATGTATGTAACGTGTGGCCCAACACAACTCTTCTTCCAGTGTGGCCCAGAGACGCCAAAATGCGGGACAGACACCCCTGGAAGAGTCCAGGGAGGGTCCTGGAAATCTGTTTTCTAAGGGACTTCACGGTTGCTTGAGGTGATTCAGCAGATTTTGTAACCACGGCTTTAGAGACTGCAGCAAGGCTTGGAGAGGAGAGATTGTTGGTTTATTGTAAAAACAACAACAACCCACGTCTGTGCAGTATCTACGTAATTAGTATTGTGGATATACACACAGCACTCCCACTCTAGCTGATGCTGAAGGAACTATTAATCCATCAAGTTTCTTCAACAATGCAGAAGACTAATTGTCAAAACTGCATTGTTCTCCTCTCCTGCGATCCAACCCCCACACTGGTGTAAATGAGCGCCTGAGCAGCACACAGCCAATGGTGGTGTCATAACTTGGACACTTTTAACTGGCAGCTAACTATTTATCAAACATGATTTGATATCCAATATTATCTTTTAATTAAATTATTTCAATTTAGGGGGTGGGCTATCACAATTTAAAAAAATAGACGTTAACCTCGATTTGGAAATTACACAATAGAGTAGGAAGAGCTGGTTGTTGGAATGGGGAAGGCTGGACTCAACTCCTAGTTCCGCTAAATCTCCATGACATCAGCTTAGGCACGTTAGCTCCTATCTCTCTGAGCCTCTGTTCTTTCTTATAAGATGAGGCTTAAAATAGCAACCTGATATTATCTTCTTCAGAATTAACTGAGATGACACATACAACATCTCCCCAAATTAGATAAATAAGTGTTAGCTCTTTCCTTTTCTTCTTTCATCGTTTCCTGCCCGACCCCAATTCCTTTAACTTTTAGCAATAGGTCTGATACAAAAAGAATTTTTTTTAAAAAGTACTTCAACCAGGCTTGATACACAACAGGGATTGGCAAATTTTTTGTGAAGAGACAGACAGTAAATATTTTAGGCTTTGCAGCCACAGGGCCTCTGTTATGAGTACTCACCTCGGCCACTGTAGCGAGAACGCAACCACAGGCAGCGAGGAAATGAAGGGGCACGACCGTGTTGCAATAAAACTTTATGTGGAAAAACAAGCGGCAACCTGGACTGGCCTGCCTAATAACACAGGAAGACGTTTTAGAAATCCATTCAAAATCAGAAAAGAAATGGGTCCGTAATCCTTCCAGCTAAATGACTTTGCAAAAAAGTCACTTCACCTTTCCAAGCTGAACTTTCTCATCTGTAGAGAGGAAGGAGCCAGGCTGTGGGATCTTGGAGGAAGCTGCTGTCTGCTGAAGTCTTTCATTGTTTGGGGAACTGCAGCCTCCTAGAGAGAATCCCCAGTGGGCTGCCACCCAGGTTTCAGCATTTGATTTGTTTGTTCTTTCATGGTTGATCAATGAGTCATAAAGAACAACAGAAGCTCTTGGGTTATAAGTACGATTTTATTTGATGAAAAAAGGAAAAAATAACATTTGGTCAAAATAAATAGTATTTTTTTTTCTACAGACACAAAAGCAATCAGACTACTTATTAAATTCTAAATGCTGTAGGTAATTTCAGACTGTTTAAAGTCAGGCTGTAATGTCAGTGGCTGAGGGCCTGGAAATTGAAAAGTCTCCCCTCTCCAAAGGGAGCCAGGCGCTCACACTCGATGTGATACATTAATTAGGGAATGAAAGAAATAGATCAAAATTGTTTTTCCAGAAAGAAACCATTGTGAAGGTATGTCTGTACTGAGACAAGGCTGCTATGGAAATGCTAATACAAAAAAATAAACAATACAGTGTTTCAAACATGATGCCATGAAAGAAAAGTGTCCAATTAGAAAAGAGAACTGACTTCTAATTTTGGCTTTGCTACTGACTAGCTTAGCCGAGGCACTTCCTTCTTTCGACACAATTCAGTCCTTCATAGAAAATATTGTAATAGCTATTACATATTTATTGAGCTCTTACTGGGTACCCAACACGGTTTTTGGTGTATTATTTCCATTACCAATATCTCACGAGGGTAGTTCTGACGCTATTGCTGTTGTATAAATGAAGAAGCCGAGGCACCGACAGGCTACGTAACTTGTGCACAGTGTGTGCTGGGAGTAATACAGAGCGCAGTTACTCTCTACTATGCGGCCTCCCAGGGCGTGGCTTTAATGTGTCATTTCCCGCCCAGGGAGCTGGACCCGCACTTCCTACTGAATTAGCATCCCCCCAGCAAGCAGTCGACTTCCCCTCCAATCAGATCCCAGCCTATTTCTCCACCTTTATCCACACTTTTTCTCTGCCTGAACCCTCCCCTTGGTTGAAAACCTGTTTCCACCTGTTCCCCAGGAGTCGCCCATCCCCCTTCACACTTCTGCTTTCCTGGACTTGTTCATTTGTAAAGCACGCCCCCATCTCCTCTCCCCATTCGCTTCCTCCGTCCTTCCCGTCCTTGGGTAAGAGGACTTGGGCAAGTCTTGCCACCCCAGAAAGTGAGCAGAGTGGGAACAGCACGGGAGGGAGTTTTGTAAATGGGGTCGTGTCCGGGCTCTGTCACAAGCTCCGTGTGGGAACCGGGGGTTGTCATTTAAACTCTCTGGGCCTCAGTCTCTTGCTCAATTGAGTGTCGGACTTCATTTGAAGTTTTCAAACTTACTATTATTCTTTTTGGCAGTAAAACTCTCCCTCCAATTCACTCTTCGGATCACCAGGACCCACTCCAGCAAAGACACAGCTGCCCGCCTCGAAACAGACACCTTCCCCGCCCACCTGGGCCGTTCCTGGGGCGCCCGAGGCACCTGCAAGAGGAAGCGGGACGACGCAGCCGTTCCCGCACAGCCTCGCAGCTTGTTCGCTTCATCATATTGGCGTAGGTC